ACTAGAAATTCAAATATTTTTCATAAGAACAGAATTAATTTAGCAGAGTTCATGTGTTTCAAATGTAAATACCATGTAAAGAGGTACTGTTTACAGATCAAAGCCTGCATAGGCTAGGGCCATGATTGTCAAATATAACAAGACTAAAAATCCTACAAGAATCCACCATATACTGTATTCACCTGAAAAACAATAAGTTATTACAATAAGATACAATGAACAATGCGATACTAATCAAGCAGCTCACAAACAAATGTCTGAACTTAAAGCTTGTGACAAAGACTAACAGCCACAATAAACTATCTTTAGTTAATAACTTTCTTTGACACTATTCTCAGTTTCGTTCTAATTAATGATACACATGTATGACCTTGAATATGAAGTTCAAATTAATTTTCCCCCACGAATAAGTCATTAAAATGATTAAAGTTTAGTTGCTTTAAGGTACATGTAGGTTGATTAAACAACTGGGTTTTTTCATTTTTTCTAGTCAAGAAGTTGATGTATCATCAGCTGAATGAATACCCTGATGAGCAACATGGGCCAATCATAAACAATTAGTTGAATGACATACAATATCAAAGGGGGACAATGCCTATTTGTGAAAATTCTAATATATTTTTAACGGTGGGTTTTGGAAGTTTTGACAAAACCATGCAATTTTCCCTTTTATAAAAATTTTATTAACTTTTAATGAGGAAATGCAGGGTTCTTTTTTACCTTTTCTGTGCAATACTGTCACATTTGTCCCTGTGGGTTTTGACGCCCACCCTCTCCCATTAGCCTTACATTCCCTCCATATGTATCACAGTACCATAAGATTGTACATACTTCTTTTCTTGAGTGTAGTAACTTTACAAGTGTTGTCAGCAGAGATACTGAGAAGAGCAAACTCATTGTGCAGTTTGTTAGCCACTAGCGGGGAGTCTGGTAAAAATGACAATCCAGTGACAAAAATGTTGTGTACACCCTTCAGAGTGACAAGGGGCTGAAAAGAAATTAAACAAAAGATTCAGTTTGAGTATGGTGTATTTTCTAGTCAGTAACAAAGGAAACTCAAAAAGAAACTAAAAAGAAAGTATGATGCTAGGAAAATTTGAAGTAATGTACAAAAGCCACTTACAACAAGGTTCCAAGAAATATACACTGAAATGTCTCCTTCAGCTGTCCCAACGCCAACATAAATACCATTGCCACTGTAAAAATACAGTCAGTGACAGGGATTATTACATTTAAAGTGTAAAAAAGTACACGCCTTAAATGAGAGGAGATGAGACAAGTCAGCTAAAAAAGGTTTTGAAAAAGAAGTCATCTCTTCTCCTCAAATCTGGGGGCAAACAGGATGCATACTGTCCTGATTTTTTAAGCCATTACTTGCACTTTTGGTGAAATCTAAAGATTTGAAAGTGATTTCTCCAACAGTGCCTCTAAATTCATAGGGCATTGTTTGTCAAAATGACAATGATAAATAACAATGATCATCATCATACCTACATAAAATCATAGGCATTTTTTACAAAGCATTCTTAGTAATGGAAGATAATACAAACCTAACAGCCATTTGTGTCAGAGGTTCAAATCCAGCAGACTGACTCATCTGTGGTAACCATTTTGAACAATCCCACTTAACCAGATATGAGGGTGTTGGTGTCTTCCTATTGAACTTTGCAGGCACATTAATTGTAAAAAGACTGACATTTTTCCTCTCATCACAACCAAACCTAAAAGAATCAGGGACAATTGCCTTACTAATATACAATTTTTACCAAGGCAGCTGGTATTTAATATTTGTAATTTAAAGATTATTTTGTCAACAACTGACACAACTGAATACACTGCCACGCCCAAACAATACATAGACTGCCAGTAGTCCCTCAGGATGGTCACGCGAGCAAGGAAATCGCATGAAGCGAGCGAAAGCTGAGAGGAAGCTGGGGAGGAGGCGGGAAAGGCTCTCTCCAGTTTCCCTCTTGGCCAATTCCCTCTCTCTAGTCCTGCTGAGCTTAGACTCGACTGACTGAAGAGGGACTGCTCGCAGTCTAAACAATACATCAAGTAGTGATTCATAGTACAGATTTATCCAGTGGACAATGGTATCCTGGAGCTTTTCAAAGTCTTAGACCTACCTACAAGCTCTTATCCTGAAAAAGTTTTCTGGCTCATTATTAGCAGAGAAATAAAGTTGAAACTGCTTCCTTCCTTCCTCTAATCTCCACACATAGGCTGTTGTATCTCTGGAGCATGTAACAAACTGAAACCAAAAAGGACACTCAACAGAAAATAAATAAACCTAAAGCTGGTAATAATAATGAAAGTAATATTGAAAATAAATAGAACACAACTTACCCAGTTAGAGTTGGGATGGACATCAAGGTCATCAACATCAGTAGAATGAGCCTTTATATCGTGTACAGATTCTAGAGAGGGATACTGAAACAAAATATTTACTGAAATCAAGTTATAAATAAAAAGTCAAAGTGTTTAATATGCAGAGTCAGTCAATATAATATTGTTTCCCCCGTCTACCATGATTAAAGGAATCTAGGGCAACTAACATCATTCAATTTATTCAGTCTTCCTTAACTAATCAGAGTTTTCACATCTCATCTTGTTCAATATCAAGATCAAAGTAAGGATTCTGATGTCAAAGTTGACCTTTCAAAAAACTATATGGGTCTCTAACCGTATCAATGGATGGACTGGATAGTCTGCTATTTGATAACTGTGGTGATACATTTGCTGTAAGTATATTAGATTTGTAACATTTGCAGCAGTCATGAGAGTAAATGCCTCTCTCCTTAAAATGCCTTTTATCTATTAAACGCCCGGGGGGGGTACTCCCATACATTACCTATACGGGTATGTGCCGCCCAAAGGGGTCGTGATTTTGAAGCTCCTGATTTAGAACGGGGTATCCATTTCAGAGGCGTTTTCTAGAATGGGGTATAAAATTTCAAACGCACGAAAGCTCCACTTTTGTAAGCAGCCATTTGAAAGTATTCAAGGACAGATTGCTTTTAAAAATACGGTTCAATGCGTTAACAAGCAAACTGTTGTACTCTTGTTGCACCCTAGAACGGAGTATAAAAAATTGGCCCATTTCTAGAACGGGGTATCAGTTTTAGGGGGAATACTAGAACGGGGTATAAAAAATTGGCCCATTTTTAGAACGGGGTATCAATTTTAGGGGAAATTTTTTCTAGAACGGGGTGCCAATTTGGAGTCCCGGGCGGTACATACCCACCCAAAAAATACCCAAGTGCCCCCCCCCGGGATTAAACGCTCCCAGCTGAGTTTCTATTTTGATCATTTGCTGTACTTGCACAATGATCAAACCCCACATCCCAATTTCACAAAATAAACCAGATGCAGACAACTGCCTTGGGCAAGCAAAACTTGATAGCTGCTTGCTCAATTCAAGTTTGCTTCAGTGCTGAGACAACTGGGAATTAACAGCGAATTACCTTGAGGACTCTAACATGACCATCTGAGCCACCTGTTACAACATGCTTTCCATCCGCTGTAAAACGCACAACTTTTTGAAATCCTAAGTCCTCATCTTTTTCATCACCATCTTCTGCTGATACTGTCACCTTAGATTGCAGTTCATTTACTTTAAATTTCTTTATCTTCTTTTTTGTCATAACTTTAGCCTTCCTGCCTTCTAATTTTTCAACCTGGACTTCTTCCTCTTTCACATCCACTTCCAATAACTGACATTTATTGTCCATTCCAGCTGCTAATACATTTGCAGTGGGGTGAATTGCACAGTTCATTATTGCCCTTCGACCCGCCTCAAAGTTATGAACCAAGCTTGCTTTGAGTTCTTTACCATCTGTACCAAGCTTGTAAATATTCTGACATGATATGCAAAACAAAAATGTGTACAAAGGTAAATATTAGTGACCTTCATATGAGATAACAAAAGAAGAGATAAATACAACTTTCAGTCCAATGGCTTGCGATAATAAGCTGATGTCTCTGATGGACAGCAGGAAAGAGTCAGCGAAAGCTCTGCATGTGGACATACAGTGCACATGTACACTGTGGCTGGTTTGAAACATTATATATACTCAAAATCAATTTTATGGAAAACATTTTTTAAGCAGCTGTGGTCATCCAAGCCACACAATATATAGTTTTTAAATTTTATATGGAGGGGGTTAAACTGCTTAGATTGGCTTGTCATTTTGCAGAGTACTCATTTACATTGATTAGGTAGTTTAGCTAGATAGAAGTACTGTCTTTCACAGAAAGTTGCAACCTCATTCCGAGGGTCCTACTCTTCAATCTGACTGGACAAATTCAACTAGGCAGCAGGCCCCAGTTGTTCAAAAGTTGGATAGTGCTATCCAGTGAATAGCACAATTGGTTTCCCTCATACATATCCACTGGATAGTGATTTATCTGATGGATAGCACTATCCAGCTTTTGAACAACTGAGGCCTGGTGTACAGAGCAATTAGTGAAGGCCCTAAAACACTTCCTTGTGGAACACTGGATGTCACGTGGCTAAGGCTAGCTCGCTGTCTATTGAGGACCGTATAGTGTGATCTTGACGTGAGATAGCTTGTTAGTCATGCTAAAAGGGGACCACGTATACCAACTACCAAATTTTTTATAAATCTTGGGAGATACAAATAAGTATTTTGAATAAATGATAATTACTATTATATATATTAACAACTGCTGATTTGACATAAGCTTAAAATGACTTGCAAACAAAAATTGTCGCCAACCCAAGCAGTAGCGGCTTTTTTTCAAACAGTTACTAAACCATGGAAATGTGACAAAAGAGCAGCTTAAATACAATCAAGAAAGCCGTGAAACAAAATATTTTGACAAAATAACGAAAACAAACTATATTTAGCTATAGCACATACCAAAGCGTTCGGAACACCGGTCTTTGCCGCACCACCGCCGCCGGCGATCAAAAAGTGCTCCCGATCCAGAACATTCACAGCGTAAAGAGGAAAGTTGGTTGTTTCTAAGGTTGTGAAAGGCATGGTCCTTGAAAAAAATCTAGTGGTTGTAAGAGAAGGAAGTTTCCGTCATTACTATCGAAAAATACTACCTAAAAGTCTACGTGGCTGGAAGCCTGGTTACGTAGCTAATGGGCAATTCCGCTGGTCTTTTCTGTCGCGTGACCGCGGATGCAGGTCAAGTACTTACCCACAAAGATGGCCACAAAATGTCATATATTCCAACTTACAGTTCTATTGTAACGTCGCTACAGAGTTGTTATTAAAAACAAAAAAAAAAACTACAGCAAGGAGCCCAAGGCTCCGAGTGGAGAGTTACGCAAAAAATGTCTAAGAGAGCCGCTAAAATTGTTATTGTTGTTCGTTCTCCGGTCGGGGTATCCATCATCTGCTAAGTTTTCAGTGTACAACGCACCATCGCTTTTATACGTTAATTTTACCAAAGATAAGGCACAAACTAAAGGAAAATTAAAATTTTTTGTTTCAATACTTACGGTACACTCAGTAACCAACCAAAACCAAATTCACTACAAAAAAAACAACCCAATGTATCCTTCGAGGTCTTCGAGGTAGCAGGACTTTTTCTTAGGGCACGGATTAATATTGTTTGATATAGTGATTATCCGCCGGGTGGATAGCGCCATCCAACGTTTGAACAACCAGGACCAGTATAAATGATATCATCATATTATCACTGCCAGCGGATTCTATATATACTCAACTAAAACAGGAGCTCATGACTGACTTGAAAACGTACATCGAGGCAAGATCATGTTTTGTTGGAGTCATGCACATGATGTTATTTAACTCACATAAAAATTTTCCCCTCAGTCTTCAACAGATATTTTGTCCAATATCAGGCAGAAACAGCTAAAAACGGACCCACCCTTATTTCATCTCCTTACCCTTGACTCCAACGGGAAAATAACAGAAATGATACAGTGAAGGCCTCACAAGATTGGATGGAAAACACATAAAAACAACGAACGAACAAACATGTTTTTTTTTTTATTATTTTATTTTATTTCGGACACACAACCAATTACAGTACATTACATTTACAATTCATTACAATAAATTCTAATTTTTGTTTACTGAATTTTACCTTACATTCAAACAGGTAACTGTTATCGTTTACAGAAGGGAAAAAAATGAAATAAAAAGAAAAGGAAAGACAAAGTCTACAAAAATACTATAGCTTATATATTAACAGTTAAGAGAAGGCAGCTGCCTGCCTTATGGTCCTCCATCCCCCATCTGCACGTTTGTCACTTGCACTTTAATTAACTGTATAGGTCAAATTATTTTCTGAGGGGCATGGTTTGAAAGTAGCCCATTTCTTCCTAAAGGAGGCTAAGTCATTTCAGCATAGTTTGCAACTATATATATATATATATATAGTGTCTAGCAATAAGGAGAAAGTGGTGTAGGAGAGGATTGGATATGTTGTCAATTAAGCCGAGGCAAAGAGCTGGCGAAAAGGGGGTAATGTTCAAGTTGGTCAAATCAAGCGCCTCGGGGGTCCACTGCGAAACATTATTCCAAAAAGTCTAAGTTGATCTACAATGCCAAAAAAGATGCGTAAGTGTCTGTGGGGAATCAGCGCAAAAAGAACAGGAGTCTGTTTCCTTTTTGCCTATCTTAAGAAGGAAGTCGTTTGTAGCTACTCTTCTGTGCAGAAATTTAAATTGAAATACCCTTAACTTCGTTTCCGTAGTGCATAGAAAAGGTAGCTGATAGGTATTTTCCTAGTTCACTTGTACATTTGAAAAGAGATCTTCAGCAAGTCACTTTCCCTGGCTTTTCACTGGTGAGGAAGTCTTTCTTTTGACCAAAATCTGATAAATCTTTTAGCAAACTTTCGCGGAAGAGAACAGGTTGTAGGCGGCTTTTTCCAAAGTAGTGAAGTTTTGATTGTTGGAACATTTTTTTCTGAAATGTTTAAGGGCAGACACTACTTTATACTACTCTAGATAGTTCGTCTTTATATTGTACTTGGTAATGAAAGCAGTGTACCTTACTGGAAATTATGATTTGAATCTTCAAGTAAATCCTTAACATCTTTCAATCCTGCTTGAAACCAAGCCGTGACTTATAAAAGAAGGGCTTATCATCAATTATCGCAATCGAATTTAGCCAAATCTGGGAGAAGGGGAAATTTAAGTTGTCTTCCCTATAATTTAAGGTACTCCAGTATTCTACAGTTTTAGATAAAAAAGGGTCTGAAATATTGAGTAGAGGGGTATCTTGATATTTTAAAATTAGCTGCATAAAAAAACAAATTACCACCGTGTTTCTCAAGGTAGTGATTAACAAAGGATTTCCACTTCCCCTTATTATTGTCATCCAGATAGCCTTTTATCCATGTAATTTTTAACAATTCATTAAAGCTTTGAAGGTCAATCATTTTTAGCCCTCCTTTATTATATTCATTTATCATTTCTGTTCTTTTGATTTTATCACCCTTGCTATCCCAGAGGAAGTCATATCAAAGATAATTAATCTCCTTCATAACACCTGGAGGTGATGGTAAAGATGATAGGAGGTAAACAATTTGAGATACTACAAGAGATTTTAGTATTGCAATTTTTCCAACGAGAGTTAGATTTCTACCTGACCAACTGCTCATGATTTTTTTTCATTATTTCAATTTTCTCACGAAAATTAATGTTGCTTTCGTTTATTTCAGAAGTCGAAAAAAGAACGCCGAGAGCGTAGACTTTGCCCCTCGCCCATCCAGAGCACTTCGGTTTTTTCATAGTTGATTTTCAATCCAGATCGAGATTGCGAAATTATCGAGTAAAAGAAGGGTTCTTGAAAGGGAGAGCTCAGAGCTGTCTAGAATCATTGTGTTATCATCAGCGTATTGTGAAAGTTTGCACTCAACGTTAGCTATATTAATGCCGCGAATATTTTCATCCTTTCGAACGAACAAAGTTAACAATGGAACCTGGCCCTAAAGAAAAAGATTAGCGACATGTAGGGAGGGGTGCAATGAAATTAGGGGATTTCAAGAGGCGCGAGGCTTCTGAAAACTTTGCCAAGATTAACAGAAGTGTTTCTTACTATGTTCTTACTATTCCTCGTCTTGTTCCAATTTTTCATTTTTCCAATCCCCGTGATCGTTACATGTTTTAGTTTTAGCAACATCCTTCCCTGATGATTAAAAGATACCTTCTCTGTTCTAGACTTAAACGGCCTTCTGCCGGTATTCCTATGAAGTAAGTTTACGGAAAGGGCTCGGGCGTGGCATAGCAAATAGATCTTATATGGCCAGTGGAGAAACTAGAGAGAACAAAGTATTATGGCGTTGTCGGATTTGAAATTTCCTAATTGAAGAAATGCGTTATAGTTCTGTTTACCGAGGTACTATGTTCTGTTAGTCAATTTTAAACCTTACTCACACACCGTACTCTTGTGAGGGCTTCAGAAGAGTTAGGGTTACCAACAAACAATATTTTGCTGAGGCTCAGTATCATATTATATGAAGTGAATTATGCATGTCAATCTTAGACATTAACATATCGGTTTCTTCATCATACTTAAGACGATTGATGCTTTTCGTTCAATAAATAATAATAATAATAATAATAATAATAATAACATTATTGAACTGACGAACATCTCGAATTTGGCCAGCTCATTATCAGAGGGGGCCCATTTGGAAATATTTCCGGGGGAATATAAACCAAACAAAAACAGGGAATTCTTTTGAATAATAACCATATACGTATATAGACTAGATATTCCAAGCTAAAAGCAACTTGCATAACAACGTTTCATTTATATTTCGCTCTCGGTACACGCAATGCTTAGTCTGAGAGCCGAAACAATATGGTTCAATTTATGCGGTTGGTTTTCACGGCTCTGCAACATAGCAAACCTTTCGTTTCTCTTTTTATGTCTTGCTTAAGAACAGCGTAAACTAGAGGATTTAGGGCAGAATTCGCTAGAAGGAGCACGGAAAAAGCTGATCGTGTATCCACAGTCACTTCACAAAGTTGAAACGTATCACAGATGGTAATATAGATTTCAGTTCCATAACAAGTCACAAAAATAGCCACAACCACTACTACGAGCCATACTATTGACTTTTTCACACCTACTTTAGGAGCCCTCATTCCTACTGAACTTGACGCTTGGTTAAAGCGAACCTGATTCAATAGCTTTGACATTTCAACAGATATCTTTCGTGAAATTAATAGGATATGTAAAGTAGCGGTCACGAGAATTATTGTTGGTGTAACTTCAAACAACATTGTATAACAGATTGTAAGTATGAGTTCTCCTCTGACAGACAGCCTGTGGTAGTACTTGCTCTGTACCCATCGACCAGCAAACAGAAAAGTTGGAATTCCCCACGAAGCTGCAACCATAGCGACGATATTCTTTTTAGTCATGACACGCACGTATTTTAAGCAATAGACGATGGCAATGTAACGTTCAGCAATCATCGCCATTAAAGCGAACATTGAAGCTTCAGTGAAAAAGGAGACAAAATTAAAGCGTATGACATCGTTACACGCAACGTTTACGTTGCAAACAAAGGAAGCTGAGAAGTATCCACTTGTTACGCTGAAATCAGCAACAGCAAGCGATAAAATAAACCATTTGGCAGTTGTGTGTAATCGTTTTCGTCTAGCAATGATTAAAATAACCCAAGCATTTCCCATAAGGCCAAAAACAGTCACTAACCAGCCAACGATCCAAAACCAGTTTACTGACATCTTGAAATAATAAAATCGTCACTGAAAATGGAAAAGGTACATAGACTTAAGGCGTTCGTTCTGGTCCTTGCGTAAGAATTAGGCAGGAAGCTTTACAAAACTTATAGAGGTGCATCTTATGATCGCTTACATATCTAGCATCGGTCAGTAATTACTACTAATTCTTTTTTCTTAACATCCATGATAACATATAATTGTGTAAATAAATATCACAAAACTGTCAAATCAGGCGCGTTTTTAGTTTGCAAACTACCCTTGAATTCAGCTCAAAACCAATTATCTAAATATCATCATTTCTCAGGGGAAGAATTAAAGTCTGTTGAATCTGATAACTCTTGCAGTGAAAAGCAAACCGTATTAGCATAACTAGGGTGCTGTTTGT